CCTAGTCCTTTTGCAGTTTTTCTTTGATATCATTCAATCTTTCTTTTACTGTTTTTAGATGATATTACTCGATATACCCCCATAAATTGAGAAAAGCCCTTCTCCACCGAATTGAGCTCTTAAAATATGAAAATGCTTTCTCATGCTTATTTACTTTGAACAAGTACTAAAACCCTGTCTGTCAGATTTATTTAACTCTATTTTCAGGATGCCTTTTTCTGCTCTCCAAAATCAATGCCACAATAAAATTGCTGTCATATTCTGAAGTCGATATCAGAAAAATCCTATTCCATCTTTTATTTAGTGGAGATCCATGATCATGAAAACAGATGGATTAACATCAACTTATACTTGGCTACTGGTAATCTAAACTATTACTTAATTTTCGGAGTTACTTATTTCCTCTATGATGTACTGGCTTATGTCGGTATGTATAACAACTTTTCTATTGAAATAATTCTCGATGCCATTTCTCTATTTCCTTCTTATTTCTTTGACAATACTTATTCGTAAATCTTTCACTTCTTTCATTTGGGAGGTTTGGTATCCTGTACCATCTATTCAAGGTTCTTGATGAAAATCTTCTATCTTCGAGTTAGTGTTTCTTAATTTTCAATAAACTCCTTGTTATTTCTTTCTTTTGATACTTCCTTTCCAGGGCGTCGAAGAGGGCCGCGCCCAGACTGGACTGTTGGCTCCCATCGTACGAAGTGCTGCAAAATACTCATTATTGGACTTACGCCTTAGCAATGCCAGTTCGATGGACCCTGCTAAAGGAGATTTTTGAAATCAACGCCCCTGAACACTTTCATTTTGTTTTTAAGGTCCTTTAACAGACACATAGTATTGTGACATATATAAAACAAAAATCATTTAAACAAATCTAGTTCTAAAATCAGATTTAGATTTACAATGTTTTAAAAACTGCTTTCTTGCCTCTCCTAAGGGCGAATCCTTAATCCTTTCACAATCTTTTCCAGCTGTACGTTCTCTTTCTCCCCAACATTCAGGAGAAGCCAATTTTGATTTTGAACCATTATTAATAGTGTGCCCGAATAGCCTGTTAAAATCAGGAGTTTTACGCACAGAAACAAGCGATTGAAGATAAATTCATCCATAACATAACGGCGATTACAACTCGAACGAAAAAATTAGACGAAGTATCATCTAACAGCTCACAGCATGACAGCGTGCAATAAAAGCGGAAGTAAACGTCATTGTTCGTAACTAAACAATAGCTCTATTTTTTGTATATTCTAACACTCCCACTCAAAAATAGATTATAACAATTAAAAAAGGTTGTTAATGAGTCTCTGCTCAAACTCTGTTTGTTATGTTCATCATCATTCGAAATTTTTCAAACAGTGTTCTTGGTAGTGCCTTAGTGAGCATATCAGCAATCATATCGTTAGTAGGACAGTACTTTAAAATTAACTCACCGTTCTCCACTTTTTCTCTGATGAAATGGTGCTTGATGTCTATGTGTTTTGTTCTAGCATGAAACTTCGGATTTTTAGACATCGCGATTGCTCCTTGATTGTCTTCCTGAACAACTGTAGGCTCTTCTTGAGTAAAATTCAAGTCAGCAAGTAGTGAGCGAAGCCATACTGCCTCCTTGGTAGCTAGACAGGCTGCAACGTATTCTGCTTCGGTTGAGGAGAGAGCTACGCTTGTTTGCTTCTTGCTTGCCCAACTGACAACTCCACCACAGATTGTAAACATGTAGCCAGACTGAGATTTACGCCCATTTACGTTACCTCCCCAGTCTGCATCAACAAATCCACTAAGTTGTACTCCTTCTTCTTTTGAACCATCAAATTGAATTCCCCAGTCTAGTGTACCTTTAATGTAACGTAAGATACGTTTGACACTTTGCCAATGTTCTCCACTTGGGTTAGAACTAAATTGATTGACAGATCCAAGAGCTTGTGCAATGTCTGGTCTTGTTGCTGTAACTGCATAAGTAAGACTTCCAATAAGTGCTTGATATCTCTGCTTATCAACAGGATCGCCTTCATTTGCAAGTAGTGTTGAACCTGTCACTTGTGGTGTTGATACTTCTTTACAATTTTGCATTCCATATTTCCGTAGCAAATTTGAAAGATAGGTGCTTTGATGCAGCAACATCCTTTTTTCAGCTCTGTTACGTTCAATCTGAATTCCAAGACAATAACGAGCTTCACCCAGATCTTTCATGCAAAACCGTTTTTGCAATGCTTCTTTCTCATTTTGCAATAGCTGGTTACTGCTACAAGCTAACAGCATATCATCAACATATAAAGCAATGATTATAAATTCTGCTCCCACACGCTTGACATACAAACAAGAATCAGCTTGACATTGCTCGTAGTCGTTATTCTTCATGTATGCATCCATTGTTTTGAACCAACATCTTGATGCTTGCTTCAGTCCATAAATACTTTTATTCAACTTGCAAACAAAGTTTTCTTTGCCTTTTTCTTTGTAGCCTTCTGGTTGTAACATGTAAATCTCTTCTTCTAGTTCTCCATTAAGAAACGCTGTTTGGACATCCATTTGATGCAGTTCTAAATCCAACTGATTTGCAATAGCAAGTACTGAGCGAATTGATGTGTATCTTGCTACAGGAGAGAATGTCTCTTCATAATCAATACCTTCTTCCTGAGAATAGCCTTTAGCAACGAGACGTGCTTTATATCTCTCAACTGCTCCATTAGCATCATGTTTAATCTTGAAGACCCAACGACATCCAACTGGTTTACGTCCCTTTGGAAGTTCAACAAGATTCCAAGCTCTGTTCTCGATAAGTGATGTGTATTCACTATCAAGGGCTTCTTTCCACTTTACTTTTGCAGATGAATTCAATGCTTCTTGAATTGTTGTAGGTTCTTCAGTATTCTCATTTAAAGTATCAGCATTTAAAGACTCTTCAAATTCCCACCAATCACCAGTAATGAAACCGTCTCTTTCTGGAGGCTTTCTTGTACGGTTTGAGCGTCTAGGCTCTTGCAAGTCTTCAGCATCTTGACTTTCCGCATTTTGATTATTTTCATTATCTGTTTCAGGGTCTGCAACTCTTTCATCATACTCAGTTTCTAGTTGTTCTTCATCAGATTTGAAAACTGGTTTAACAGTAGAATCTATCTTCTTTGTTTCCACTGTTTGATGTTGAATACGACCTCTGAACTCATTTTCAACAAAAACAACATCTCTAGATTCATAAAGTTTCTTTGTTCTTGGATCAAATAGACGATACGCCTTTCTGTAAAGGCTGTACCCAACAAAGATGCACTTTCTAGATCTTGAATCAAATTTCTTTGTGAGCTCTTTTGGAATGTGCATGTAAGCATCACATCCAAATACTTTCAAATGTGCAACATCAGGTTTTCTTCCATAAAAACTTTCATATGGAGTCATGTCCTTCACTGCTTTAGTGGGACTACGATTCCTCAAAATGACTGCTGTTGCAACTGCTTCTCCCCAAAAATCATTTGTTAATTTAGCAGCATGCAGCATTGACCTTGCAGTCTCTTGAATGGTTCTGTTCATTCTCTCTGCGAACCCATTCTGTTCTGGTGTTCTTGGGACACTTCTCTGCTTTGAAATACCTTTGAGTGTCAAGAAATCATTAAATTCCTTGGAACTATACTCCCCACCATTATCTGATCGTAGATTTTTGATTCTCTGTCCAGTGATATTTGTTGCCATGGCTTCAAACTCTTTGAACTTTTGAAGAACTTCATCTTTGTTTTTTACAAAGTATATTGCAGTAAATCTTGATTTATCATCGATGAAGGTAATAAAATATCGATGTCCACCCAGACTGGTTGTTTGCATTGGCCCACATACATCACTGTGCACAATCTCTAGAAGCTCAGTAGCATGTGTAGCTTGACCTTTAGGAAATGAGTTTCGTGTTTGTTTTCCCTCGACACAGGCCTCACAAAATTGCATATCTTTTGAATCATTGAACTTTAGTCCCTCAACTAGTTCCTCATCTTGCAACGTTTTCAAATTCTTCACTCCTAAATGGCCAAACCTCTGATGCCATAGTTGTAAGGAATCATCTGCACTGTTAGCTTCATGTGCTAATTCATTCATTGGTAGACAGTCAAGAATAAACAACTTTCTGTCTTTTCTTCCTAAACCCAAGGTTTCTCCATCGCTATTTAGGATTAGACATTTGTCCTCGTTGAAAACCACTGACAAATTCCTTTTGACAATTGCACTGATTGAGAGCAAATTCTTTGCCAAATCTGGAACAAACAGCACTTCAGCCAATTCAACAGGCTTCCATTTCCCTTCGACTTTGACCTTAACCCAAACTGACCCTGTACCTTGTGCCAATACAACTCTGTTGTCACCCAAGCGTACTTTCTCTGGTACAGCAAATTCACGAAAATTCACCATCCTTTCTTTGCACCATGACATGTGCTGAGATGCACCAGAGTCAATAATCCAGGTATTCGCTTCTTTCTTGTTAGTGCTGGTTGTTGCCCAAAAGAGAGTATGCGTGGCTTCCATTTCTGTAACATTAGCTTGCTGTCTCGGCCTTTCGCTTGATTTCTTAGGTTTCTTATAGTCTCTTGCCCAATGTCCTTTTAAACCGCAGTTGTAGCATTTCCTTTTCTTGTTGGTGGATTTCACTTGCTGTCCAGCAACTCTAGACATCTCCTTCGTGGTAACAAGTGCCTTTTCCATCGCAATTCCAAGGTCAGATGAAACTTCAGATCGTTTTCTTTCTTCATGTAGCAATCTGGCAATAATGAATTCTAGGGTGAGTTGATCTGCCCGTGATTCAAGTGCAACAATAAGGTTATTATAGGAATCTGGCAAACTGCACAAAAGAGTCGCAACTTGATCCTCTTCAGAGACTTGCGCTCCCACTGAAGCCATTTGCTCTGTCAAACTTCTCATTTTGTTTATGTGTTCCATCATTGTATCATTTTCTGACATTGTCGCAGTAAAATACCTCTTTCGTAAAAACAACTTGTTAGCCAGTGATTTGACTTCATAGTGATTTTCCAGTGGTGGCGCTAGGTTTCCTCCGACAAAGGGGCTAGCACTTCCGACGGAGGGGCTAATTTTTTTAGAGAACGATAGGGCTAGGGGGCGACAAGGAATTGTAAGGGTACTGGAGACCGAAGGCGAGCGTTGCGAGCCGAAAATTCGGGGGTCCGGGGGTACTCCCCCGGGAAAATTTTGGTGGCTACACCCATTAGATTGGCTAAAAATGCTATCAAAATGGTGTAATCGTGTTTTTTACTACGTTTTTTGACATATTACTAAGGGCACGTTTGCCCCCTCCCTTGCCCCTCCTAGCAAAGGGCAGGAGGGGCGCTTGCCCCCCCGCGCCCCCCTTCTCCGGCGTCCCTGGAAATTTTTTTTGAAAGCTGCCTCTAGATAAGCTTAAAACTACTCTAAATCTTTACAACTCATCAAACGTTGCCAATTCAAGTAGGGCCTATCTTTGGAAAGTATGAATTTAAATAAAAAGCAACCAACTGAACTTAAGGAAAACTGGAACACAACGTAACTTTATAGGAACAGACCTAAGCGGTGGAATACGCACTTCTACATATCGAAAATTCAAGTCCAAGAATCAAAATTGTTTCACAGAGCAATTCTACTCTTCGGGAACTTAGCCTTAAATCTGTCTACTACTGAGTCCAAGTCAAGAGCACTTCCACGGGCACGATGAATACCTAGCATCATCAGACTGTCTAGACGCTCGTCCTTCATAAGTGAGCGCAGATCACTCTTGATGAGGCGCATAGAGCTGAAGCTGCGTTCACATTCGGCTGAAGAGACTGGCAAAGTGCATGCGATGGATACAAGCCGGTGCAGCTCAAAGAAAGCTTCATTTAGCTTTTCCAAGTGTGCCTCTAGTTGCAGAAGTGTGCTTGGGCGGTGTTTTTCTTCTTTTCTTGAGAGCATATATTTAAATGTGGCAATTTCACTGCGTAGTGCACCAATTTCAGACTGAAAAAGCTCAGCAAAATTGACAAGAGTTGTTGGGTCCAAGTAGCTTTTCGACTTGGGGGCCAATGCAGTTATGCCTTTCATGATCTTTATGTTTTTTTCGTCAAACCGCTTGCAAAGTTCTGCAGTTGTTCTGTTTAGTATTTCTTTGACATTTTGTACGTAGCCATCAAACCCGCTTGCTACTTGAGGCTCTGAAGATGCTTCCACAACAAACTCTCGAAGAGAAGCAGGCGTTGCCCTCTTTCTTGGTGGTCTTTTTTCTTCCGGCAATTCCAAGCGATCCGCTGCTTCTTCGGCAGTATCCCAGAACTCTTGAATCTTATCCCTGCTTTGACAGTCATCCAGTTCATCTTTCAATGTTGCAATGAGATCAATGGCTTGACTCAAATCATTGGAGGGTTTCTGCAACATGTCAGACGCAAATTTGGCTTTGTTCAAGACGTGTCGGATGGCAAACAGGTATCTCACAAATTTCCTGTCAATCTGCAGAAGATAACCAGTAGCTTCTGTTCTGCGACCGGGGTTCGTATCTGTGTCAATCACATCCTGCAGGACTTCCACCAAGATATCCAACCGCTCCCAGAAAACATTGAATTGCTTCGCCTGGCAAGACCATCTCGTGTCAGAAACTTTTCCAATTTCCATCACATGAACCTTGTGATCCTCTTGGACCTTTACCCATCGTACATGAACGGTGCTGCTGCTCAGAAAAGAATGCAGGCTTCTGAATAGCGATATCATGTCTGCCACACAACTGATTGATTTCACAACATCGACGATCACAAGGTTCAATCGATGACAAAAGCAATGGACGTAGTAAGCCATTTCAGCACCGGTTTTCAGAGGAAGTTTCCTTTGAACGCCATTCAGGTGACCAGAAACAACAGAAGCTCCATCGTAGCCTTGCCCCACGCATGCTTTCATGTTGGCTTCGATGCGTTGCAATCGTTCAATTATTGTGTCTGAAAGACCATCTGCATCTAAACTTTGCGCCTCAGCAATGCCAATAAATTCCTCATGTATGGCATTCTCGTAGCAGTAACGGACTGCAACAACAAGCTGCTCTTTTTTGCTTCTATCTTTAGACTCATCTGAAAGGACGGTAAAATACTGAGCCTTATTGAGCTCACTTTTTATTTGCTCAAGAACCATGTCTTTCATAATGTCTAAGATGGCATTCTGTACGCTGTGGTGAGTATACTTTGCATTTTTCGGGCCAGTGCGGATTTTGTCAGCAACAACTGGGTCATGCCTTGCAAGAAGACCAAGTATCGCAAGAAAATTACCACAAGAAGGTCCATAGTCTAGAGCTTCTTTATTTATATCGGCAACACGAAATGAACCTCCAGTCTCACGTTGGGCAATCTTCCGCTGAGCAGTGAGAAGCAGGACTTCGCAAATCACTCGCATGTAATGCCTGTTGTCTTTAACCAGTTTCGAATAAGCGGCATCATGAAGTGTGGCAATGGTCTGAAAATTTCCAGACTTAACGTTTTCATAGTGCGCTTTAGCAGCTACACTTTGGGCATGAAGATGGCTGGTTTGATGTTGCAAGAGTTTGTTATCATTCACTTTGGTGCCATAGCATCTTTTCCAATTGCGCAAGCCTTGACTAACAAACGCTGGATCCTTCCGATTCTCTGAAAAATTACGACAGTGGAAACAGAAGATGGCATCCTCCATTTGCGAATACTCAATCCAGGGATACTTTTCATACAGCAAAGGTGTGAATGCGCGATGCTGATTGCCAATCAAATGTGTAGGGAAGGAAATATTACGAGGCTGCACAGGTCCGCCGTCTTTGGTTGAGGATATGTCCTTGGGGCCAGCGACGGATAGTGTAAGTTGCGGTCCTCTCGAATCTCCTTGAAGTGCTAAAACGAAAAAAATTATCCATCACACTTTGCAAACTTTTTTCCTGTTAAGTTCTTGGCAGTGCCCTATTTTATATCTGAGAAGTGCCTCTTTTCATTGTTTTAGACTTTTCTTTGAGCTTTAGTGCGAAAGAGGCTATGGGAGCCAAAGTGGCTGCTTATATGCAAAACTTTTCCGGGCGAGCATGCCCCGTGCCCTTCTAGCAGGGTTTGCCTTCGTCTTAATTACATACCAAGGTGCCCTTTTTTCACGCGCCCTTCCACTTTTTAGTACCCCCCTACGCCGCTGGTTAATGGAGAGTTACGATTATATCTGATAGCTAGTTAGTATACCTTCGGCTGATAATCCTGCAGGATCAACTTCATCTTCCAACTCGAGTTCCAACTGTTCCAAATTTTCCTCGATATCCTCGTTGCTGTCGCTTTCATTTGCTGCTTCCACAATGTCCGACATCGACTGTTCGGCTTCCGAAATGGTGACGTAGTTGTCAGCATCTACATTCGTGACTTCGGGGTCCAAGCTAGAAGTTGTACCTGGAAGTTTAAACAAATGATTTACTACCCTGTTTTACATGTGTGAAAAAGATTATAATATCTCCTGGGAGATGGACAAAAAGGCATTTTTACTAATCAATCTTTTGTGACTCTTAATATCAAAATCATCCAAAAAATTATTTTTATTTGTAAATAAAACGAAGAAATTTATACGTCTAACAAGGTTTATTCCTCATCCAGTCATAGCCAGGTATATTTGTTTAAATATGTCGCAGTCGCAGTGAAATCCCATATTATATAGGTCCGAAAATAAGAAACTTTTAATTTCTGGAGAGCTAGGTTTCCTATAAAAATACACGTTTTTTTCTTAATAAGGAACTTGTTTATAAAAAAAACTAGAAGGATTTATCGTAAATAGTAATAGATGGTTTCCCTTAAAAATAGTAAAAAATAAGAAATTTGGAAACTATTAGTACTCTGGGCTTGAGTCAAGTTTCTTATAAATAAAAAAACGTGTACGTAGAAGCAAAACACTACAAATATGTATGGTTGGGATGGGGTAAAATGGCTTAGCTACTACGTAAATGAGTTTGATTGTTTTTATGGCTGAAGCCCTTTGCTAAGTGTTTTTCCTCGTATTAAAAGGACTTAAATATTAAAACGTATAACATACCACGTTCGATTTGCTCTTCGTCTTGAATTTTCGAAATTTCAACTTCTTGTTCTTCGGGGTCTTCTGTTGTTCTTTCAGTTTCAAAATCATTAACCTTTCGTTTCTTTGGAAAAGTACCGCCTTTTGATTGAAAAAATGTTTTTATTTTTCTCTGCTGCGAGTCCGTTTCAACTATTGCCGTCGTAGGAGCAGTCCTTCCCATTGCAGCCAAATCTTTGTGCTTGGACTTCGTGTGGCGGGCAGCGTAATCATTGTTAAATACGTCATTACATATACTACATCTAACACTGAAACGGGTAACATTTGTTGCCATATCGCTATCGCACAAAAATATTCCGATGTTGTAGGTTGGTTATAGCAAGCAAGATTTGGACGAACTGCACTATCCATAACATAAGATCAAATTTAACAGCATGCGGAAAACACCTGGTACTGAACATCTAAACAACCAATTCAAACTTCTTATAACAGATTATTATTTACCATGCTGCAGGGAATGGGCACGGAAGTTCTGTGCAGAAAATTTCGAAGAGTGCGAAGGCACTGGCGACCATTTGTATCATAATACATCGTTATCTTGGTTCGATCACGAACAAGCTGGCGAAGCGTGTCAAATTTAAAATACAGTGGTGCGCAGAGGGGACGGGGCTACAGCCCCCCGTGAGAGCTAGCCCTCCGCGAGAAGATTAAATTTATGCTAATTTTTTTGTCGGAGCGATTTTTTAAGTTTTGCGGAAAGAAATTTCTAAAGACTGTTATCATAATTCAGGAAGCTCATCCCAAAACAACTCATCGACAACATCAATTT